CTTTCATGGTCTTTCCTTGGCTGCACATTTTTGGGCCAAAACACAAGATTCTGTTCAAGCGGCGACTAAAAGCCCCAAAGGAGATAGTAAATGGGATCTTGGTAAAGCATTACACGATACTAAGGAAAGAGTTTCTTATTTCCAGAGGAAGATTGAGGATTGGCAGATTGTTTCAGATGTTAACTATCTGGCTTGGTCAAAGTTACTAGCAGCCCAAGTATCCGAAATGGAGAATGATCATGGAGGGGCACTAAGACATTACGAAGAAGCTTTGGACCATGCTTCTTCACATGACTTTGTCTTCGAGGAAGCTTTGGGAAATTTCCTTCTTGCAGGCTTTCTCTTACGCGCCGGTTCGCGAAGGCCAGCAAAGGCGGCTTTGCAAGAGACAATCATGTTGTACCGACAGTTTGGAGCAGGAGGAATTGCTAGACATATCGAGATGGAACATAGCCTTCTTCTGCAAGGACCGACCCGCAGCCTTCGATATATAGAAAATGGCACGCAAACAGATTTTGCTGGAGATTCTGCACCCACGCCATATCGTACTCTAGAAGGGGACGAGAATGACGAGCGGCAACGGGCTCATAGCAATGACTCTGAGACGAAAGGTGATAGAATTGGAGCTTGGCAAGGAGGCTCCGCGAGACCTGATGCTGGTTCTGGGCTTCCAGCTCTAGATATGCTAGATTTAACGTCAATTCTCGAAAGTTCGCAAGTCATCTCTAGTGTTCTCCAGGTCGATGAATTGCTCAAAACCATGTGTGAGATTATTCTGCAGAACTGTGGAGGCTTGGCGTCAGTCGCTGCGATCGTCGTTGAAGAAGAAGATCCCATTGGGTGGAGCATAGCCGCTAGTGGTGACCCGGAGAAAGGTGCTGTGGCTCATATACCTGGGCTGCCTCTGAGTGAAACGGCACTGGTTGCCGAAGGGGTCATTCTTTATTGCACTCGATTTCGTGAGACTGTATTCCTACCTGATCTCATTAATGATGAGAGGTTTAGTAATGTTAATCCTGCTTGGTCTGCCCGCAATCCTCTGGGAAAATCAGTCATCGCTATTCCAATATGCCACGGCATCAAACCGTTACTTGGAGTTCTTTATTTGGAAGGCCAACCAAACGCTTTTACCGATAGAAATCTTACGGTCCTCCAATTGCTTGTCAACCAAATCGGCATCAGTTATTCAAATGCCTTGACTTTGAAAGAAGTAGAGAAGGTTTCGGCCTTCAATAATTCTATGGTTGATGTGCAGAGAAGAGCTTTAGCTAAAGCTTTGGAAGCTGAGACGAACGCTAATTTGGCAAAGGCGGAGGCACTTCGCAATGTCAAATTGGCCGAAGAAGCTGCCAAAGCCAAATCAATTTTCCTGGCAAACGTGAGTCACGAATTACGCACTCCATTGAATGGAGTCATTGGAAATTCAGAGCTTCTTCGTGATAGCGATCTTCGTAAGGAGCAAGCGGAGATGGCTGACTCGATTCGTGTTTCTGCGGATCTACTGCTTACTGTCATTAACGATATTCTAGACTTTTCCAAGATGGAAGCTGATAAGATGAAGCTTTTTATTGTAGCATTTAATGCTGATGAGATGATACGAGAAGTTGTCAGATCTGTTTCATATAGTAACAGAGACAAAAAGAGCTCTCGAAATGTGGAAATCATTCAAGATATTAACCTTCCGCAATCACTGATTTATGGAGATCCAGTCAGACTCCACCAAGTTCTTGGTAATCTTATCGGAAATAGTTTGAAATTCACCGAGAATGGTTCTATCACTGTCGGTGCCAAAACAGATTGGGAAACTAAAGATGCCGTGAAGTTGACTTTCTGGGTCAAAGACACAGGGATTGGAATACCGAGACAACAGCTGCTCAAGTTGTTCAAACCCTTCTCTCAAGCAGACAATTCCACAGCTCGTCGTTACGGTGGATCTGGTCTCGGACTTAGTATCTGTAAGTCACTCATAGAATCGATGATGGGTGGACAAATAGAGCTTGAGAGTGTCGAAAATCAAGGCACGACTGTCTGGTTCTCTGTAACTTTCAATAAAGCCAATCCGGAAGTTTCTGCAGGAGACACTCAGTACGAACCTCCGCGTGAAGCTATACAAAAACCTATCGAGGCCCCAGGAGTACAACCAGTTCCTACTGAATTTAACGATTTCTCTCATATAAGTCGAGATGCCCTGCGTATCTGTATTGCCGAGGATAATCCTATCAATCAGAAGATTGCTATTCAGTTTATGCAAAAGTTGGGATTTAAAATTATTGATGCTTACGATAATGGAATGGCTGCTGTGGAGGGCATTAGACAAAAGGCTCGCGAGAACATCCCGTATCATATTGTTCTTATGGACGTACAAATGCCTGTTCTTGATGGATATGAAGCCACGAAATTGTTACGCAAAGATCCAATCGATGCAGTCAGAGGTATTCTTGTTATTGCGATGACAGCATCTGCTATTCAAGGAGATAGAGAGAAGTGCTTAGCTTCTGGTATGAACGATTATCTGGCCAAGCCTGTTCGATCGGGGATTCTGAAGAAGAAACTAGATCAATATCTTCAGCAAGTGAGTTGTAAAACAGACATTGAGAAGGAAAGTGCTAATATAACCCAGCCTCCACTCTCCCTACCAAACCTTGATGCAGATGCGAAGAAAGTGGCACGAGAGATCCTTTTAGGGGCAAAAGATGACAAACTTACCAATGGTGCAAGAGCTCCTTCTCTCCCTAGCGCAAAGGACACTTTTATAGATGAAAATGAACGAAGTGCTACTTCTTCACCTGCAAATCGAGCGCCACGGACAAATTCAGTTCAAAGCAATCCTTCACCTTCACCTCTAAATCGTTCGCCATCAGCATCACATTTATCTGGAGAAGCGACACCGGCTCCTCTTCATCCATGTGGAACGGCTAAAGATGAATCACATCGATTATCTGTTGAGCAAATGTATCTGGATGACCTCGATAAAACACCTACTGGAGAGGACCAAGGTCGTCAATTGACTGTTGGGGTTGATGGGATTTCGGAGAATCGTGCTTTGAATGGGTTGGCGAAGGCTGCTAGGCCTGGTGATGAGGAGTTGTCGCCTAGAAGTAAACCGAAAGCATGAGAAGTATTGACAGGTAAACAAATATCGTGCTGGTGGAGATAGGCAAAGGAAACACTGCAGTTTTGTTAAGCCTATGTTCAATACCGAATATTGATTGAATGCGGGACCAAACAATGAAAACTTGGCGTAGAACAAGGAAAACACACCAAAGTTGATGCGAGAGAGCGGAGGGAGGCAATTTCAATTCGGAGGGGAGGAATTGTTTAAATATGAGAAAGTCGTTACGAAGAAGGCAGTTTTTGTACAAAGCCGTGGGTTAAGATGTGGCAGTGGAGGATAAAGATATGGAGACTTTAGATATTTTTTCGTGATACATTGTTTGCTTGTTGATTTATCAGACTCTTTGGGTGTAGCGGGTGGCGTTTTTGGGCATCGCGATTACAAGTTATTGCATGGTGATTGATGATGCGGTGGATAAGAGGTGGGAAGAGGAAGGAAAGGAAAAATTTCGGTTGGAATGAGAATATGGGCACGAATTCGATAGGATGGTTGGATGGATGGGTGAATGGCGTGTTTGATGAATCTTTTTTGAGGGGCAGAGGGTCGCAGAAGAGATGGGAATGGGCGAGATGAGGACTAGGAAAGTCAGGGGATGCCAGTGTGTGAGAAATTTGATGGTGGATTGCATGGTTTGACGATAAAATCGTATGTTAGTAGAATAGCATGAATGATACCAGGTTGGGAAGTAGTACATTTCAATTGTAGACAATTAACAAAAAGCAATTTCTGCACTTGGCCATCGCAAGTACGCTTATCTTTTCCTTCTTTTCTTTGAGAAATCGAGTGTGATTAGATGACATTTTAATAGAGATCAAAGCATAGAGAATTTGATTTTTAATATAACCAGGCGATGTGATTTTCTTTTCATAGGTAGGAAGATATTCGGATCTTCGAGATCTTCTTCTTGGTCTCTACTGAAAATAGACAGAGCATAGAGCATAGAGTTTAGTTTTTCATTCCTCTGCATTGGGGTATATGTGGATGAAGTGTTTAAGAAACTGTGGCTCTGTTGAATCAGCTTTGTCTTGTTTGTTTCGGTTGGTGCGGTAAGTATACGAGTGTACCTAGGTAAGTAGCCATACATGATGAGATATGAAGTTTTGGCGGCGGGAGGAACTTCGTGGATGGGGGCACGGGGGTGGGGATCAGGGAAATGGTGATGATGACACGGGGGATGTGAGGATTGGATTGGATTGGTTGTTTTTCTGGCTGGAAAGGTTGGGAAGATTGAAGTTGTGTCTTGGGGGTGAATGGGTGAATGTGAATTATATATGTGAAGGTTTATTGAAGCTCGTAAAGGATTTTAGCGACAGATATTTGGTAGTGATTTGGTGGTTGTTTGTTATATATGACTGTTGAATCGAGGGGGTGTAGAGTAAGAAGATTGAGGGGCCAAACCCTGAGATCGTGGATATCGATGGAGGTATATTTGTGAGCTTAGATCTCGAAAATTGTATCGTATACTGATAGAGATCGGACAAATGTTGTGAATTTGATAATGGCCGCTTCTGGATTGTTCGATGCGGGGAAAGTCAACGGAGACAGAATAGGAAGTAGGAGTTTGCGTAGGTAACCTGTAAAAAAGGGTAAATACATAGGTAGTTAGAGATACAAGCTCTTGAATAAAAGATAGGGCAGTTAGAGTATTATCGTGCTATTAGAAGTATAAATCATTACTCTTGTGATTATAATATTGATATGTGTTTACTCTTGTATTATTTAGATTCTAGCTTTCAATTGTAAATTCCAGCTTTCTGTATTATAATTTCTAGTGTTACGCCTTACTTTCTAACTAAAATACATGGACTCTAGCTATCTACTATAGAGTCTAAGTGACACGAGAGTGAATTTAGATCAATTCCTGTGGTATCAGAGTTATTTACCGTAAAAAACCCATAGTTCGCTTCTGAAAGTACAATTTCAAGTCATTCGTCTATATAAAAAATGTACACCAATCCCCAACGTCTACTATTCCATCAAGCCCCCACCTCTGCATAAACAGCCTTCTCAAACTCTTCAAACATCTCTACGATCTGTTTATCCCCAGTAGGCAACAACTGACTGCCATAAATCCCACTAATACCTGCTTCTCGATCTGCCCACCAAAACAAATTTGCTAATCCGCTCCAATACATTGTCCCTTTTCTTCTCCTGCCTTCCAAATCCTCCAAAAGTATCATTCCTCCTAAGCCATGATCGATTTTCGTACCGGCTGGAAGTGAGGGGGCCGTTAAAAAGCGCATTTCCGGAATCTGGCATGTTTGATTTACACTTGCCAATTGTTGCTCTGTCAGTTGCGCTTCAAACAACTTGTCATTCATCGCTTTACTGAGAAGTTTCTCATCTGAAATTGTGATGCTATGCAAGACTCTTTGGTAAGAGGGCATACTAATTTGAACCCCCACTCCACCTGCGTCGTCGACTTGCTCTGGTGACCAAAAAGTTTCTTCGGAGTAGACGAGCGCTCCAGTAGGATTAGCAGTCGTACCGAAGGGAGTCTTGTCTCCGACGCGAGCAGTCATATCAACAAAGCGTGAAAGTAAAGCAGGATGTCGGTTGATATGGAATGTGAAATCTGTGATGCCGAGGGGTGCGCATATGTGTCTACGCATGTATTCTTCCAATCTCATGTTGTTGGCTCGGGAAATCATTAGACCGGCCCAGTCAAGTCCGCCTATACTTGTAAAGGGTTGTTAAGTTTTCTTTCTTTCTTTCTTTCTTTCTTTTTTTGCTTGTAAGGCTTGTGGATAAAAGGAGAAAGTGGAACGCACTAGAATAGACCCAAGAAGTCCCGGGTTCAAATGTCAATGGGGTTTTGTAACGCGATATCAAAGTTCCTTTGTCAATCGTGGCAACTTCGCCTCGTGTAGCTCTCCAGCGAACCAGGTCAGGTGTGAAGACATCATATGCTAGCCCGGATGTATGGGTGAGAAGCATACGAAGCGTGATGTTTTTCGTGGCTTTGATAAGTTTGGGCTTTCCCTCCGAATCGAAACCCTGGAGGATATCAAGATCCTCGAGTTTGAGTTCGGGAAGAAGGCGGGAGACGTCCTCATCGAGTGTAAATTGGCCGCGCTCAACACATTGGAGAGCGGAAATTGAGGTTAGAAGTTTGGTGCAGGAGGCAATCGCGAGGATAACATCTGTTTTCAAGGGTGTAGATGAGCTGGGGTGGAGAGAACGGAGTCCGTAAGCTGAGCAGTGAGTGAATGATTTCGTAGCATTGCTGGCAACCGTGACGGCACCTGGGATTTTGCCTGCAGAAGTTGCAGACTCAATCTTGGAGTTGAATGAATCCATGATGAGGTAGGAGGAGGTGAGTTTTTGGATAAATAGTTTGTCAAAGTAGAAAGGCAGGAAGATAGAAGAGTATAGTTAGAATGATACCGATGTCAGACAATGTGATTTCGAGGGGAAAAAGAGTCTTTAAATAGTGATTGAAGACCACCGATGTAGTTGTCATTCTCTCAATCACAATCACACTTGTGTAATCAGTGAACGAGCAGGTTTGAGACCCATTGAGCCTCGTAATCACATTTACCATGGCGTTGATATTCCGATACTATATGTGTCAGGGCTCTCATCTGAGCATTACCGTATAAACTCAGTAGACTCGGAATCTGCCTAGTCGCATACTGTGTAGCTTAATACCTATATCGCAGCCGGACTTGTTGAAATCCGACTTCTTTTCCACTTTTCCTTTCGCTTGTATAATAATATATATGCCGGTAAATTACTCTCATGCCCTAAAATTTACAAAAGTTTTACTCTCATGCCCCTTAGATTCTATAATAAATTCTATATAGAATCTACCTTAAATTTATAAATTCTAGCCTATCAAAAAAAAAAACTATGTAAAAAAAATTAAAAAGTTATATCTATAGAATCTACCCCTTTCTTATAGAATCTACTCTTTCGCTATAGAAAACATATCTTATTCCATTATAGAATCTATCTTAAATGAATAGAATCTAGTTACTTGAAACTAGATTCTATTATAGATTCTAAAGAATGTAAAAATAAATCACCTCTTAATTTTAAAGTATAAAAATATTTAAACAACATTTAAAGGGTATAAAAGTAATGTGTTATATATATACTTGAAGTATATAATTATTTAAATTAGAATTAAATTTTCAATTTTCTTTTTAAATAGTTGTTATTATATTAATAAAGAATACTGATATTTAGAATTCGAAAGGAAAATAACGATTGCTTATTTAATAATAATTAACCTAAATAATTAGAATTATGTTTTTTGTTGATTTGTAATATCACTATGTGAGATTGAGGCTCACATACTAGGCTACATGCGGTTAATTAGATTCCGAGTCTACTGAGTTTATACGGTATAACGATGATTTTTTTGAATGCAAGTCCGGAAGGCTGGACCCACATTACGGCCTCGGAAATTTCTGGATTTCCTTTTGTCCGTTGGGTTGATTTATATTGTAAAATAGTAGAAGGTGGTAGGGTCATAGAGTAAGCCTTCGCAAACACCGTAGAAATGTCACTATGAAAGTAGCGCCGTCAGCGGGGGAGAGAGGAGAGAGGCTCTAGAAAGCTCTCACATAACACACAGGGGGTACAATAGAATGGGTAAGAACTATAAATACTAGCTACAGAGATTGCCACGTGATATGTGCGTGTTTTTCCGCGCATAATATCCCCTAGACTATGAACTTAAAACGTCGTCGCTTAACAGGCAGCTATTATAGTAAAACTTGATTATACAGGAATGAAAAATTCGATCAATCAAATCCGGTATATTTAAGTTTCCGGTATAAAATATAATAGCTCAAGTGTTTTAGTCAATCGTTTAATCGGATTTTAGCTTCAAACCCTAATATTATCGAAAAGTATTATGTTATAGCAGCTAATTAAGCTTATTCAGCTAAATTCATTATCAAAATTTATATCGAAATCGAAAAGAAGTATTCGATATTCCGGTTTTTACTCAAAAATTCGTTACTGTTATATAAAAAGTAGTTAAATGAGGAAATTTTCTAATATATTAAAGATTATAATATATTATTACAGGAACTGCCTCTAGGATCACGTGGAAGTGTCTAGAGATCTCTCGAAATAATTTAAACTAAACTTCAAATAGGAATTCAATAAGATTATAACTAATTGCAATTCTCGTAACTATAATAATAAAACTAATGATTGTTCTTGAGCACAAAGCTCTGTATTATAATGAGATCCGTTCTCTTTATATAGACCTTCCTGCTCTACAGAACCCATGGTTCTGTCCTACTTGGATCCTAGGCTTCAAAGGCACCAACGTCCTATCACATGACACTTATCACGTGATCCAATGTTACCCGTCGTAACATATATCCTAGTCCGGTATAGTTAAGTTTTACTACAACTAGTTAAAACATTAGGATTTTGAGAATTCTTTTCATTTCAATACGTTTTTTTATTATAGCTATTTAATATTTACTATTTTAATATAACTAAATAATAAATTCTTTATATCTTTATAAAATCTAATATCTATTATAATAGTATTTATAAAATCTATTTATTATTATTTCAAAGAAAAAAACTATTAGAATATATTTGATATATTAATTATCATTTTCTTTATAAACTTTGATCTTTAAATGAAATATAAAGCATTTCTGAAGTTATTAATATTCTTGCTCAACGCATACGCCACATTGGCGCCATAAGTTGGCAGTCTAGGGGATAGAGTACGAGAGCTCTTGGGGAACCTGTTGTGCATATTCCTTTCTAGAAGCAAGATCCAAGGGTGTACCAGTCATCAACATGAATACCGGCACCTCGGTATTCGTATACTCTTGATAGTCGCTTATTAACAGATATATAGCGGTACAAAATAATGAGATCTAAGCCCCGAACAGGGATAGAAAACCACGAGAAACCACGAAAAACCACGAGCTCAAGTTGTCTTCTCATTTAAGGCCAACCGTTACTTTCAGATCGGTACTGGTATACCCGATTTCCAACTGAAAACATTGTAGATCCCCCAGATACTAATTAGTGTAAGCCCCCTACATACGTCAAATTGATGGATGAAAACTTAAGGGTTGGTGGGGTTCGCTTCAATGGAATGCTAGCTTTGCATGCCGCAAAATACGAGGGAACCAAACATCGAGGTGCTTATTCTTCTTGACTGGGAGAAACAGCTAGAGAGCGGGACAGGTAGGGCTTATGTTCATTACTTACTGCGGAAGCTTGGATCCGTATATTCAGGACGACTTAAGCTTATACAGAAAGCGCTGGTCCCGGTCATTTTTTTGAACGTATGGCCACTGAGTGGGTGTACATGAGATATTGTTTTGTTGAATAATGCTTTTAGTCTAAAGTGCCATTTTCTGTATGGAGTAATTTACCAGCAATCAAATCCTACTAGACGAGCTTCCTAAGCTTTAATACCCATTTTGCATGCAAGTTATTTATGAATCGAGGAGTTTTCGCATAATAAGTCTAGCTCGATGAATCAAGCTTCCAAATCCAAGTGTACTGTAAAGTCTACGAAACGACAATGCCATATGTCCCATAAGGAAAATCTTCCAAGTTAGGAAGAAGCTGGCCCCAACCGTCATCAATCTCACCCAGCTGCTCTTCACTCCCAACCATCATACCCATTCTCCCAGCCAATACTTTTCTCTCTTGTCCCGTATACTCCGCAAGTAACCCCTCATGAGGAACCCAAACAACCTTCATCCCTGCTCTCCTCCCGGCTTCTACACCCGGCACCGAATCCTCAAATACAAGACACTCCTCTGGTTGGATCGGCTTCTCGTTTTCTCCCAAACTCTCATTAATCAACCTCAATGCCAACAAATAAATATCAGGCGCAGGCTTTCCCCTCCCCTTCTCTACCCTCGGATCATCTCCCAAGACCCTTCTCCCTTCTCCAAAAACCTCAAGTAACTTCCTAGTCTCTTCTTTACTGATCTTTAATCCAAAATTGTATTTCTCACTACTGGTTGCCAATGCTATATGTACTTTATTCCCCTCAACATCACGTGCCGTACTCAAATCCTTGAGCAATTTTTCAACGCCAGGAAGGGGTTTACAGGAGGGGAAATGGAGCTTTTGTTGTTCGCGTTGCTCTAATGCATATTGTTCTTTGGAAATAGGTAGCTGAGCCCAATCGATGAAGACAGAGCTGGTGGATCCGCCAGGGACGCCCATGAGTTTGGCTTTGATAGACCAAGGAAGGGGAGGACGATTGTATTTGGCAAGAACATGGTTGGCGCATAGGGTGTACATGTCCTCGGTGTTTATCAGGAGACCATCCATGTCGAAGAGACATGCTCGGATGGGAGGGAATCTGGGATGGTTAGTATGTTTCTTCGATTTGGAGAGCAAAGTTTTTGATGAAATTGGTGATGGCTCTTCTTGAATGTGTGTTCTGGACTAGGAATTTCTTAGCTTACTCAGTTTTGACGCTCATGGTTGATATAGACTCTAGAGCGTTTGTAGTGTTGCAGAACGTGACACAGGTGACAGGAATCCTCTTATCGATGTTTGCAGTTGCCAATGCGAAATTGGGTGAAAATTTTGCAAACCACCTTTAAGTCTTGGTCTCTTTGCAGATTGGGATTCTTCTTGGGCGATGGAAAATCTCAGGATATTCAACGTTAAAAATTCAGTCAATCAAAGAAGTTAATGGTAACCACCTAAGACGATGGATTCACTCAACCAGAAATACAACAGTAGATATACGAAGTAGAAACCCAAATACAAGCACTAGGGGTCGTTGTTCGGAGCAGCTTCGGCTAAATAGCCTCAATCTCCCACCATGGAAATATGTTTGTTATGATCTGTCCCTTCTTTTAACATCGCAATCAAACCTGTAATATTTTGTTTCACGTCAGTTCTACCCATTTCAAGAACTTAATTCATGTTATCAAAGAGTTTTCTGCTGCAAGAACTTGGAAGTTTCGCTGGAGAATGATGTTATCTTTGTATGGATTGGAATTAGCAATCACAGCTTTCTGTCCACATCAAGCAAATAGGCCCACCAAGAGATTGGAATTTTGGGTGCAAGTGCATCATCGTTCACTTCGTAAAGGCAAAAAGTTCGGTATCGATTTTTTCTTATTCTCACTTCTGATGTCTAATGTTCTTCTATATCACAACTGCCTTCACTTTCCCTTCTTTTCCAGGGTACCACATTTCCATGCATCAAATGCTCTTGTCTTGAACGCAGAAGAAGCATTTCGTTGTCCAAAAGAATTTTCGACCACTGCGCCTGCCACAGTGCTGGTTGCCTCTTCCACGATCAGAGCCTCTTCGATGTGGGTTGCCACCACGCCCCGCATTTCGATCCTGGCTTGGTACCAAAACGCCAAATCTAGTGTCGGAAGATAAGCCTGGATGGGCCTCACCAATAACATCCGATTTGTTTGGCGTTGAGTGCATGGGTGGCTATGAGCTCCAAGGCTTCCGTCGACAATCTCTCGACTTCTCGGACTTTGCATATGTAAGCGGTCATATAAAGAGGTCTTGAGACTTAGTGTGGTGTAGTTCTCATAGGTGAACGACCGGTGTAGGTCCAAATTGGGTTGGTGGATGTATATTAGCACCCAAGAGTCTTTGTTGGAGCTCGCTATGGGCTAGCATAATCGTCGCCCGATAAGCTCATCTTCGACTTTCCCTAGGCTGCAACTTACACTCAAGCCAGGGCAGGCAATCCAGGAGAGGCAATCCAGGAGAAGTCTTCCTCCATGGCCTGTGTGCAGGTAAGATTTGTAAGCGATCATATAAAGAAGTCTTCGAGCATAAAAGATCTGTGGGGTGACTAGTTCAGTCCTGGTACAAAAAGTTTGCAGCAAAATTGGCTATTCTTTGCCTTGGTCTTCTCTTTTACCTAAATATTTATGAGTGACTAAATTATTCAAGAAGTGCAGGGAGACTTACGTTGGTAACTTGAGGTTTCTGAATTTCATTCTGAGGAGCTGGAATGCCGATCTCTTTTGCAAGACGTTTCGCACGAGCTTTCACAGCTGGTGCAATAGGAGGGCTACAGTGACCGGATCGTTGGTCGTTGAATCATAGAGGAGCTTGTAATCGAAGTTGCGATTGTGATCCACCGTTGAAACTCGAAAGACCGAGAGGAATGGCGATAGAATTATCATCGCGCATGGCCATTGATGGAGTCATTACTCTCTTGTTCACTTTTATCCTTCAAAACCTCCGCCCAGTTACCGATGAAGAGTTCGCCGTCTGCTCAGGAGTTTTGTCAGCGCCGATTGGCTTGGCTGTGAGTCGCTTGCATGCTGGTCAGATGTGCAGCAACACTGCTGTTGTACTGCTCTAATATCTTAAGATCCCTGATATGCACAAAGCAAAAACCAATATCCATTCTCATCACGAACCAAAATCAATTGTTGGTAGTTACTGCTAGTACAGTTGTGGCTGTCTTTGTCGCACTCAGAGACGGTAAGTGAGCATAGAATAGTATAACACCACCAATGGTGTTTTCGAAGATGATTGGAAATAGAAACCTGGGCTTTGTGTTATCCGAGGCCAGAACAGCGACCAGTGATAACATTCGCTTTGATCTTCGACCCATTCCATGTTTAATGGGACATTTGAGCCTGGAATTTGATAGATTCCGCAGGATTCTGTGTAGGTCAAGTGACCCACGATAGATGAAGGGGGCCTAGATGCTTCAAAATGCAGATTGCCAAGGTACGCCTGGGAATCCATCAGAAGTTGCTCCGTCCTGAGGGCTGTGGCTTTGCCGAGAGCCGTCGAAGACTGCTGAGGTGGGTGCTTTATCATTGCCTCACTAAAAGATCGTCAGTACAGAACACAGTTGAAGGATTGAGACAAAGTTACATTACTGAGGAGAAAAGTCGACAATCCAGCTCGTTGACTTGCTTATCGGAATTCCAGACTCCACTGGTGATTTCAGCCATCACCATAACTCTCTTCAAGCGGTTGTTCGTAGTGGTGATGAACAGTTCTTACAAATTGCGGAGGCTTGCGAAGTAGCTGGTGTTGACCAAATTGTCGAGGGAATCCCAACAGTAGGTAGGATCCAGGATTGTGTTGGGGGTACCGGCAAGAAACAACATGTAGTTTACCGACATTTCGGTCGTCTAGTGATTCTGTTGCTGTTGAAGAGTTTGACAACGTCTTTGTTGCATGCTATAAGAGCTTTGAATGATAACATGTTGTTAAAGAGCTGGGTTCAAGTGAGTGAGGCCAGGCTCCTTGTATTCAGGAGTAGAGAACCCATTATCACAACCTATTCGTCACTTTTTATGGTCCGAAGAGCTAAGTGGGCCTTGAAACTGGGTGACGGCGAATATCGAAAATCCTGAATACTCCACCATAGGGACTTCATGGCGGTAAGGTATAATTGGTCAGATCGACCTTGTCTAGTGCAAAGTCTTCCTCATAAGACACGAGAAAAGCTTTAGTTCATCTAGACAGCAGGATTTTGAGCCTGAAATTGAGCCCCCACCGGTAAATTTCTGTTAATGTCGGTTATACGACAACAGAGCTACCTACGCCGGATTCACCCTCCTGTTCAGTTTGCTTCGCAGCCTTGGGGTAATTGCCACCAGACATAGCGATCAATCGTACATGGACGGCGGTCTCAGTCATTGCTTAGAAAGAAGAACCGTAACGACCAAGTACCACTCCAACCCTGACTGAGAGCACGTCGCACTATCTTTAGAAATGCGGAATGGCTCCGAGAGGCCTTCTCTCGTCTGGTACGCTGGAATTCTTTCAAGACATCGATATACTGCAAGATTTTCAGCATCAGTATTAAATCTCAAAAGCATGGAGTGTTGAGTACCTTTCTGGTTTTTGTCTCGGAGGTTTCCATTTTTGGAAGATTATCAAAGACGTCTGTTCTATCTCCCTCGCGGTGGTCTGGAGAACGAGAAATAATTGCATTTTGAGGAGACAATGGTTAGTTGCCATTCACATGTCATATATAAACGGGATATTGCAAGTGCCAACAGTACCAGCTTCACGAAAAGTAATGTCGAGAAGGCGCGCCGAAGCGGCTGCGGGAAACATAATGTATTGGTACAGAAACTAAAATTACTGCTAAGATATAAAATCTGTCACCACCCCCGCCGATCTCGACCCCTTTCGTGCCCTTTCCTTCATATTGTGCTATCACAGGTCATCATTCTCTAGTTCAGAGCTTTCCTCGGTAATCATGCTAAGAATTACGCTAGACCACTCCCCATCATCATTGATTGCTTCTGGTCGTGATGATGATCATTGCTGCCGCCGCGCCTTGAGCACAGGACGTTGCAAATCCGGAGTTTCCATGTGATTGTTTGGCTCATCTGTTTGGCATAAGCCCTGGTTCCGTTTCTCCAGTGGTTCTCCCCGTCACTTTAGAAATCTCTGCCCAATGGGAGATCGGCTTCAAATATCGTCATCGGCAGCATCATGCGCTTGGCATATGCTTCAAGCTTGTTCGAAAGGTCGTCGCTGTTTGTGTCAAGAAAGATGTGAGTACAGTCTCTCCATCCTGCCTAGCAGGCAGCATCAAATATTGTCATCGGCACCAAGACCAAGATTCTCTTGGTCGGAGCTGAAAGCTCGGCTTTATGCAGACAAATTAGAACGTTTTCAGCAGATTCAAGATTTATTACACATACCTTTGCTCTGACGTTGTCAAAAGATGGAGGGCTGACAGTCGAGAGGCAAGTCTAAAGACTTTTTCCTGATTAGATTAAGAACCCAGGCATCCCTCAAAAAACTTCTTGTTCTCTCTCCAGTTGCAGTCCTCTTGCTACCACCGTTACTATTCCCGGTATACCTGTCTCTTGCACTCCCTCTTTGCACCCAGCAACACAGCACAGCACCTGCAAGCTGATATAAACAGGGCTGTGAGGCGTGCGGTGTCTTTGGCTTGGAAGCTAAAGAGTTTGGGAAGCAAGGGCACTGCAGGGCTGATATCCCTTTGTATTCCGCTCCGTATGGCCGGTATTGAGCCTTCTTTGCTGCGGCTGCGGAGAATGAATCAGAAATTATTGAATAGCAGGGTTTAAGGAGGAGCAATAAACTCACCATCGTGATTGATCAACGCCGAGCAATTGCTGCCACGCTCTGGACGACCAAGAGAAGGTGAGCCAGCCTCATCATGAACGATCCACTCGTCTGAAACATTGAGATAACCGTTCAGAACGTTCGAGACCCATTAACGGTCAGAAGCAGTGCATGCTGCGAATGGACTGGTTGTTGTTGGAAAGCCGCATAACTTGGCCCAGGTGCTGGAAAGATCTCCTTTTAAGCTTGGGTGAGTAAGCATGTGTACAACAAAGATCTGATGCTGGCAGCAATGGAAAAAGAGGCGAGGGCGTGGTACATGCATTGTAAAGCACAGAAAGCAACAACCATGGTGACTTTTTCGAATGTCTGCATTTTTTCCGTCAGTTATCTGTTCTTAAACCGAAACCTCCTCCTTACCATTTCAGATAGCTTGTTGTGTTGAAACAAGCATAATAGCCTGGTACTTGGTCGTATGTTTCACCGTCTGAGTAGACGTGCTGGTGACGCCCACCGGTGTAGGTGAGATTTTTCTAAAGCAAAGTTAGCATGGTCTTCTGCAGTAAGCGGAAGAGATGTAGTGGCAGAATATGCAAACACGAACTTCGGGATGTAAATATCTGTAGCTCTAGTATCAAGGTCAAATACAGAGGCAATGGACTGTGAACTGATCCAAAGGGTTACTATTTGGGGGTGCATAATCCACCAGTACTCCGAGGATGTGTTCATGTCTGCGCTGTATCTCCTGAAGGAGATCGAAGGAGGGTGTTGATAACCTTCAAGGTGACGTTGACCGCCGTCATGGTGCAAGAAAACGGAAACATATTCTGGCACTTACATTGGAAAACCACGAGGAAATTCTTGAACATTTATCAATCACCCTCGGCCTCTAAAGACTTGAAAGCGTCGAACACGTTCTAGAGACCGAGGGTGATTTCCTTTCAGTGAAGTCATTTTCAGCTTGTAAAGCCGCATGACCATGGCCCAATTGCTGGAAAGATCCTCTCTATCTCGATCTGGAGTCAGAATCAAACTCTCTCAATTGATAAAGAAGGCTTTGATGTGAATGAAAGATGGAATAGTATTGATGGGAAGATCTTGAAAGTGGAAGAAGAAATAATCTTACCAAAAAGTGTGACTTGACAATAAGCGTCTATAAAGAGAAACATGAGTGTGTTAGTGAGGGAGAAGAGGATTGGAAGCTCAAAGAAGTATTAAGAAGTTGGTTTAAACCGTTCTAGTAAAAACTCTGTCTGGGCTAAGGATACCCTCGAGGGTATACAAGATGTGTCCAGTCAGAGTCTTTGAATTCCCGACTAAGCAGGAATATTAGTTCTGAAATAATCCCACAAACTTTTAATTCTAAATAATTGTTTATTGAAGTTTGAAATCCCTTTCTTTCAAAGAATTGCCTTTTTGGCTTTCTCTTCAACTACCTAAAGTCCAGCTAGAAAAGCTAGACCTGACTAGTGCTTTTCTAGCCTTGACTAGCGCATTTCTTCCTCCTTTAATACCTCCTCTCAACCCCAACTTGAAATTGCTTTCTATTGAGTTTTTATTCATGGCAGTATATCCATTACTACTACTTGGTATTTCAATGCGAATAATCTTCACGTATTACAATCCCATCCTCTCATTGAAACTCCGAAAAGTCTACCAAGGTATCTCGGGTGCTCAACATAAGCCGACTTTAATCAATACACTAAAAATGCCAAAAGTTATGGTATGAGATCAAGTCCAAGGGTTTACTTCCAAACGCTCATTATATAGCTGTCTTCTTTTGAATCAGAGCCGTGTCATCTCTCTATGTCAACTCGATGATGCAATGCGATTTGATTGTTGTACGTAAGTAAGATCAAACCTTCACTCCTTCCATCAGTGAATTGAGTACAAACCTCGTTCTTTCTAAAGTCATTATGACTAATGTTAATCTTAGCAAGCATATGCACACCAGGCAACGAAATTGAACCTACATCCGCTGCACCAATTCCGAAGACAATTATCACAAAGATGTCAGTTTGTGAATCATAACGTCGTCGCACGGTCGCAGTAAGTGTGTTGAGATCAAGGTTTGTTCTTCTCCCGTTCATGTTCGTTATATCACTAACCATAGATAGCAACCTTTCAAGCTACTACATCATCTGCTGTGAAACGTGGCACCTCCCTATCAGAATTTAGAATCAACTTTCTTGGCACCAACACCATTAAGCTGCAAATGATAGTGCGCGGACCACTTTCCATGTACTCTCACAAAACCTTATTCTCAAGAATTTGGTACGAATATTGAGTGCACCTCGTCGACTGCTCTCGCAGAGCTGGCGGCTATCGTGTTCCCCTTCGCCAGGTTCCCAACGCCTTCATCTCAAAAGTTTCCACGATGGTCAATTTCACCTCGCGACAGCTCTCGCAGGTGTGTGCTCTGCCTGCCTTTATCGGTATCAGAATCACCTCACGACAGCTCTCGCAGAGCTCGTGGCTGTTGTGTTCCTATTCGTCCAGGTTCCCAACGCCTTCATCAAGTTTCCAGCATAGCGCGGACATCGTGGACAAGCATTTCATCCACGGCGATTAGCGGCGATATAGCAAAGTAATGAAGCGATATCGCGAGCCTCGTCGACCTGCTCTCGCAGGTCTGGTGGCGGCTGTGTCTCCGTTCACTGAGGTTCCCAACGCCTTCATACGATCTTCTGGAGATCGCATACACCTCGTCGACTGCTCTCGCAGGACTGGTGCTGCCCTGTCTGCCGTTCGTTCCTAGTCCATTTGCGCAATAACAGCCACATGCTTGTCCCTCGGGTCTAAATGCAGTCAACTCACCTTCTTTACGATTGCAGCTGCGGAAAGCAGCTCCCGGCAATTGCCTTTCAGTTGTTCATAAAACCCTCAAACTACGATTTTCACCAATCGTGCAATCTTTAAAGAAGCGACAAAAACTTGCCGCCGAAAAAATCTGCGGTCGTCAAGTTCGTCGTCAATTGTCCGGAATACACACTATTCCACAAGGATTTGCTCACAAATCATACGAAGCTATTTTCCTTTGGAATATGGCCAAATCCTTGATGAATGAGACCGGAAGTGCCCAGGCGGATATTTTCCGGTCGCTTTCCAGTTTTTAATATCGGTGCTCTGCTGGGAGATGAACAAGATGCTATGGTGAACGTTTTCGGAGATCATGCTCTTCGCTTGATCATCTTTTAGTACCGTACCGTACCTGTTCTTTGGTAGGAATCTCACAAACTCGTGTTCTCTCATGAGAGCTGATATGCTTCCAATCATCCTCTTCAATGTCTTTAGAATATGCTGTATCAAACAGCAAATTTCGTGTTGCGGTGCGGTTCCAGCGGGTACCCTGAGGAGAACCGCCGACAAAATCAATGTTGGCGGCTCCCCAGGGCCTGTCGGTGCACCAGGCTATATTGCCGGGTCTCCATGAACCGTTCCGAGTCGATGGATTCCTCCGCCTCGCACTTCATTCTTCTCAGTCTACAGCCTACAACGAGGGGAAAGGACCCCGTTCCTTTCACCAGTCCAGAGAGAGTGGCGGGCGAGGAAGTTACAGCTGGGTAAGATGCCAATTATGAAGCCAGAGGGGAGAGATGAAGTACCGAGAAGAACGGCGAATACTATCTCCAGGAAGCGGAATGTTCCAAGTGCGATGCTCTATATGCTTCAGATGGACGAGCGATCTGATGATCATGACGCGCGGGGCATCCCTTTGAACCACGATGACTTCGACAACGAAGATTGTCTTCCACTTGACCTTGATGAGGCTGAGGAGGAAGAGCACTCGGCTATTCTCGCACCTCAGAATTCTTCTGATCCTCGCTCATACCACCCACACTTCTCTCGCCACCACGGCAGGCACTTCAATCTACACTACCTTAGTTGTGATTAATCGCCGGTGTTGATCTCCGCTTAACGATCATTGCTTCCACGCAGCTTAGGTCAAAAACGCGAATAACCAAATCATTTTTCACTCCCTTCTCAGCAACAAATTCATCGCAGCCACGATAACTACTTTTTCCCAATCTAGCTTCTTCCGAAACTAAAGAACCTACCCCGGCAAATATTCCAGGAAATGTATGTGTAGTCGGTTCGTTTTTCTAATGGTCTCAAGTGGAGCTTCAACTCCTGTCACTAGGAAAAGCCGTAGAGCTCCCCAAGCCAGGAAAACCTGCTGAAGCCCCAGTCGTTTCGGTGCCAGAGATCTTCGTCCTAGTCATTCCATTGCTAAAGAAAAGAGGGTCAAGAAAGAGGAAGAGATAGAGATGCGAATGTAATCTAGCAGGCAGCAGATATTTCTATTTGATATCATGGGTTTCCCTTGATATCGAATGCAAGATTCAGTCGGAGAAAGAAATTCGTTTTCAGGAGGGGCTTGGGAATCGTTGGGTATGAAATACGCTGTCTATGTATTTTCTGGCTTTCATTTATATTTCAACTTATTAGCATGATGTGGATTCAATTATGAACATTGAGCAAATCCCAAGAACTAGTTGTAAGTAAGAATATGTGTACAGTAGATAAGTTAGTCAGTCAACCAAAAATGCATTCTCAAAAAAAAAAAAAAAAAAAAAAAAAAAAAACAGATCCTCAGTACATGCCTCCATCACAGCGACATTCTCTTATCCATAAAACTTCGTGCTCACAATGGACAAGAAACGATCATGTTACACAATAATATCCCCAGAATTCATACTCCAATCCTGCACCCTCGAACCAAATCACTATTCAACTACTCAACTATTTAATCTAGACAGTTTAATTATTCCCTGGAATTCCCTCCGTTAAACTCCCTAAATCCCACCAAAACCTCACCCATCACACGACACCACCACACAGCACCACCATTATCACCAACCCCAACCCCATCATAATCATCCCAAACCCATCCGTCTATCTACTTCCCATCCTCTTCGGCACATACTATTTCATTCCCATCTAATCCCGTAATATTTCCCGCATTCCCCTTTCCCCTTTCATCTTTCCTCATTCCTCTTCGTATTCCATTTTTCACTACTATATTTTCCTACAATCAAGCTCACTCACTCATCTACCCCTAGGAGAAATGATCATCACGGATAATTATAGCACTACACAAACAATACATCCATCCAAACCCCATCTTTCCTATCCTCGTCTTTCAGACTTCCAAATATTTCTCGGGCTCATCAGAAGTTAGAGGGATTTCTAGACATACTGTAAGATTCGAGATTTGCGGGTATGTAGATATATAAATACCTAATTATCCCATCCTTCTTGTAACGTGTAACTCGTAACAGAATACAGTAGAATGGGATATGTGTGTCATACCAATCACCACCATTCCCTCGGGTCACTGATATATTATCCGCTAGACCTTTCCACTCGATTTCGAGCAGGTTTGCAAGAGTATATCCATATCCGTTTGTAATGATACAAAAATGTAGAAACAATAAGTAGGTAGTGACTAACACTAGCGAGTCGAGGAGTAGGTACTTTCGTTTTCAGCTACGATGAGATGGGTTTCTAGGAGATCGCATTAATGGATAGCTGGTGAATGTATGGAGGGATGGATGGTTGGTCCTGCTACCGAGCTTTTCTTGCCTTTATCTAGGTAGGTACCTATGATTGCAAATAATAAATGCATACAATGTAGCTAGGGGATGGTTATGTTTTTAACACACCGTTACTAAATCCTCGAACTAGCCGTTTCCAACCAAGTAATGAATACCCAAGTATCATATCCCGATACCAAATTTTTACTACAGACTTCCATCATTAAGTACATATTACCATATTGTATTTCATTTTGCCGAGATGTTCGTGGTAATAGTTATGTATATGGCAGCTAGACAGACACTTGATCGAAACGACGTCTTAATTAAACGAGCAAAAGTTGATTGGAGTCAACGGCAGAAAGATTTTCACTCAAGTAATATAGGCTATCCCACCATAGTTATAGCCTTTAATCTCTTTTCCTGCAGAGAAAGCAGGTGACTCAACGGCGACCATAGTTCACCCCTTTCTGAAGATATACTCAACCAGTTGAAAGCATGTTGAAAAACGTATGCACATAATGAAACCACCAATTTCGATTCTCGACCATCAATCATCAAAATTTCATCATCCATTGCATCTCCATCTATCTACGCACCCTGTAAACCTCGCCAAACTCCAATCTCCCCAATAATTTCAACCACACTCACTCACGGCTTAAACAAACCCTCACACCGCCAGCACCTATCGAACCACTCGGAATACTGCCCACTCGAATTAATGCAACTCCCCGTCTGCGTACTGCAATGAAGTATGTAGATAGGTAGGTAGGTAGGTAGGTAGATAGATAGGTATTGGCTACAAACACACCAGATGTGGACTCAACATCTTCAGGCCAATAAAGGTACATCATGTTGGAAATAAAGCACTAGCGTGAACATCTCTGCAGGTACTGTACAGTACTGTACTACTTGTATGTAAGTACGGATGCATGGCATCGAGTCTCGTCTCCACCGCGATTCGACGGTTCACGTTCAACGTTCAAGTAGGTATCTAGTGTCTACTTTTCGTTTGCCGAGTTCGTGTTGTGTTGTGTGATGTTATGTTGATTTGTGATTTGACTGGTATGTAGCTCAAGGTTACTATCCCGGGTAAATTTCAAGGTCCGAATTTGGGTTTCCGAGTTCCATTCCATACATCTTCGAGTATCGAGTTATACAACAGTTCTAGAGTTCCAACATATTGTCAATCTATATTTATAGAGACCAAGAGGATAATATATGGAAGGACTCCGTACTATACACTGTGTAGTGATTACCCGACTTGTCGAAAAAACGAGACACTCCGTAATGGGTGAGGGAGATGATTCGTTCTAATGGTTGAATCACCGACGATTGTTCTGGATTTCAGATGACAGATAGATAGATAGTTAGACACGTGGATTCTGAATCCTAGAGTAAAAGAAAAGAAACACCGATTGAGAGTCCGAACAAAGTGTGGTTCTTAAACTTTCAATCTAGACTCATCGTTGCCATTTCCGGCCAAAATAATTTTCTCATTCAAGGTAAGGTACCCCTCGTGCTGCGAGACGTTCGTGTTCTTCCGGATAGCATGCTACTGTACATAACAACATGCTAACCGTTATTAATCGAGTTCTACATGGTAAAGTGCGTAATATGAGCGGTCAAGAAAGATAGAGGAATATCTTATCGATAAGCCTAGAATGATCCAAATTCACACTACGGACGATGTCGCGCTTTAACATGTGGTGTTGTGGAAACCCAAGGATAGTACGTCGTCACTCTTTTTCCTGACGTGGATAGTATGGCGTAGCATGTATGGAGATGATTTGACATACAGAAGTCTGCTGGATGAAGGACTTCATGTTGTGAGTTAAGCGGGGGTTCCAGCAGTGAAATGACAAATTGAAAGGAAGAATGAATATATAATATAGGTAACATGAAGTTCAAGATATTGAAAGATTGTGCCAAATTCTACCAACTTATCTAGTGATAATGTACGGAGTAGTCTTACCCTTTCATGTTTTTGGCTAGTGAAGATGTTCTATATCGAAATGATTTTATATAACCTCCTCTCTCTCCCTCAAGGTTAATCATCGTCAAAACATGTGAAGATATCCACAACTATCCATTATTTAGCAAGTATTTTCTTCCCGTTCAGCCACACCAGGCAATAGAGAGGGGGAGATGTTGAGGGATGGTTACACATCAAGACGATGTGCATCCAGTTCCTTCCTTTTGGGTTTATGATTGGGTTTTAATATCACCTCATCAAGTTTAGGTTAGTGATAGAAACCCAATACCAATACGTTTCTCTTTTCTACACCCAATCTCTCACCAACACAAACATAGTCCTTCTCTTGGAGACTTGTGGAAACGAGAGGGAAAAAGATGATGGATGGATGGATGGATGAATAGATGGATGAATAGATAGTATCTTACATAGAGTGAGATTACGAATGAAGCGGCTCAAAACATCTTGATAAGGTTAGAGAGATAACATGCATGAATAAATGGTAGGTCCGAATAGATTGATATAGCCATGAGCTACCTAGGTAGGCATAGATTCGATGATAAAAATAGGCAAAAGGCAAAAGTGTCTACTCCATCGAGTGATTCGACTCATCCGAGTCAGACCGAGAATTGTTGGAATACCTGGATTATGTGATAGCTCCAACTTGATATCCATCTATCGGAAGAGGAAGGGAATGAATGTCAAATCCCAACAGATCTCGATGGAGATGCATACGAAATGTACGAAGGAGGTTGTAACACTAGGTAGAGGGAGCATATCATATCAAATGAAAGCGTGGGGAAAGGTTTGTTGTGATTTCAGTTCAACGGGTCTACTTACTTGTGACTTCGTATGTCACTTTTATTCGTAAATATAAATAGAGCAAGGTGACTTATGCAGGTAGAATACTGGGAAAGATGCAACCATGCCATGCCATGCCATGCCAATTAGTGATATCTTTTCTATCGGTCTGAAAAGGAAAAGGGGGTGCGCTGTCAAAGTCAAAGTTAAAGTTAATGAAATATATCAACGGCTAGCTAACGGACTTTTAATTTGATCGTTCGAATGGAGGGTGGCATGAATGGATGAGTAATCCAATAAATGAAGAAAGAAGGATATGGATATCATTTCAATCCTGTCCTATCCTATCCTATCCTATCCTATCCTATCCTTTCCTGTCCTGTTCAACCCACTTCACCTTACCTTACTTTGAGCCTTAAGCCACCATGGGAAAATTACCCCTCCATCATAAAAAAAATCATTTGTGAGGGAGTTCGAAATGTATGTGATTTGTTAGCAGTGGATGAACAGATGAATGTATACGATTGACTGATCTTTTCAAAGTAATCCTTTAGCGACCTATTTCTCACCGTTTAAAATCAA